ATAGGGGAAATCCAAAAGTACTTAATACTTGCAGAATTCAAAATAAAATCATGATAGTAAGCCCTTCCAGCAACAAATGACTTGCTTCTAGCAGATTGTAAACTCCTTGGATGTCGCATTGATCAAATACCGATTTCCAAAGGCAAAAACATTGGGTTCGTTTAGCCCCCTTGTTGACCGTGAATGTGTTATTTAGCATAGACAGACAAAGTAAGAGATAGCCATGAGCTTCTGAATCAGCCTAATGGAATTAAGATTACAATTCAAGTAAAGGATCGATTATGAAAAGTTGCACAGAAAATTGGGAATCAACTAAAACTAACCGGCCGCATTCAGCATGATTAAGACGTAGTCGTGGATTAATAAAGTCGTCAAAATGTAATGTGTAATGTTTTCAAAAAATTGTTCATTGTTGGGAGTTCAAGTCGAATGTGTCTCATCCATTAAAGACAAGATGAAAGACGAAATAATTAAGTAAAAACAGTTCGTCGGTCTATTCGACGCGCTCATAGCTGTAAGTGTGAGTGAAGCAAAGCACTAATAAATATCCATGAATATGAGTTCACGGAAAATCGTAGATCAAACCGTGAAAGTGAGCATTGGAATGTTTGGTCTTTTAAGAAACGAGTTAGATTACTCGTGAGAAAGTGAACCATTCAAAGGTTCAAGAATTCAATCAAGATGAGACTCCTAAGAGACCTAATCTATGTCTTCTTGCACACATACACACACTCTCTCTCTCTCTTCATTGCATTCTTTACGGGGCTATCCTGATATTGTCATAAATAAAACATGGAAAGATGCATTATTTCATTGCATTTTCCATAATCAGCGAACTGTAGATATCGCACTTTTATAAATTAATAAATGGAATTATTAATAACAACTAGTCTTCAGGTGCACTGCGCTCTAATATTTGCCGCGCCTTGGAGAATTCTTATTGGCAAAGAATGAAAGGAGAATTTTTTAGTTTCATTTCAAATTATTCGATTTCTAATTAATTAATTAAAAATATACTCAATATTAACACCCAAAGCCTTCTTTACTTTACACACAATTTTACGGCAAAAGAAATGAAGAAGTTCAAAGAAAGAAATCAGTTAATTAATTAAACAATCAAGTTAATGATGTATTAATATAATTTTAAATGATAGAAGCAATTAATATTAAAGAAAGGAGTCAGTATAGTTGTAAAAATACAACTAAAATCATTACCCCACCATTAGCAACAGCAAGTAAAGAAAATTTGGACATATAAAGCGAGAGGTATTTCAGTAAACTCTGAAACTCGTGTCCTGTTGCTCCTTTGCCGCTAGTGGAAGAGGTAATTCGCACAGAAATATGCGCTGGCAGGCTCAAAGGAACCAAAAAGTTAAAACTTCAAAAGCGACGGACATATCAAGAGAAGCAATTTAAGAAGAATGAAGAAGAGTTGAAAAAGGGAAAACGGTGCACTCTTTCTAAATTAGGAAAAGAAAAAAGTTCCATGAAAACTTTAAACTTGTAGATGGGAAATTCTCTTTGAGCTCTTTGAGTTACTTAAATAGGAAACTGTGGTGAGGCAGATATAAGCGATCACATGTAGGTAAACTTTCATTTGATTAAAAAAGATGATTTCCTAGATCTCAGTTAGGGTGTTATGATTCAAGAATTATCCACATCCGAGTCAGTAGGGGGGAAGGGGAGGGGAAGCATTTCCCTACATATTTGTAAAGTGAATAACTTATGTAAAAAGTGCAATTAGTCAACGTTTTAAGACTGAAGTGTTCCGTTGCGATAACTGCTCCAATGATTTGTCCCTAATGAAATATAAATCCGACCTTTTTTGTTTGTCATCTAATGAACCTAAACACACAATGAGTCATAAGCACATGGCTAAATTTTTAATGTCATTTAAAACCAGCTTTTGACGGTGCAGACGTCTCGTCACTGTCTTTCTTCGCTCCATTGGACATACTTATATATATCATGAGCTTTAATGAAGAACTATTGAGCGGATTTATTACACTTTCAAAACCGAGGGATTGGAATCTAATGAAATGACTGACTACCTACATGAACAAAGAGAAAAGCATTTTTTCAACAAAATATAAAATACGTAATCTTTAACCATTTCCATGTACATACCTTACTAATTGGCATATTCAAAGAACTTAGGATACATCAACTTGACCCATTCATATCAAATACTTTACTAATGATAAAACCTAATTATAGGTCCACAACCATGTAGAAACATTGGAACAAAAAATAGTAATTAACAAATACATTAAGCACATATTATCAGAGAAACTAACGAACACTTAAACATACTTTCTAGCACAAGCAACGCAATTTTTATCGTCTTAACAGCCGAGTAGTTTGCCAATGAGTCAGATAAAGAAGCAGTCTTTAGCCATCCCAATCATTTTAATGGCCAATTCATCAACAGCTTTCAAAATTACTGTTAAGTATTCATAAATAGTGACATGGCATTGCTATCCATAGGCTTAAGAACAACAGCTTGCGTTCAAATGGCACAAAATGGAAACTAAAACACAAATTGTAAAGTTGACTAGCAGAGGAGGAAAGCACCCAACCCCCACTCCACCCCCCCCCCTCATCCCTCTCCCTCAACAACACCTATCTAAGCACTCTCGAACACGAACACACACAGGGGTCGTAAAATCATGCAAACATAAAGAGGAGCAGGAAGTTATTATATAAGTGAGAGAGATTTATGGCCCGACACTGAGTCGAAATGACCAAGCTAAGCACAAAACACGAGACTGTCAAATGCTTTTAGTCTGAAGCAAAAATTGCGCTTCTTATTTTGAGACGCATGAAAGGTAGACACTTCAAATGTCATGAAACAAAGAAAGAGAGGTGGCTAGAATTCTTTAGTTAATAAATCAGGACCTTTCAATTCAAGTGTAACTAAACTGCGTTACCATTATATCCTCTTTTACTTCCTTTTTATAAACCAAAAAAACCTAGCATCTTCATTTGAATCTGTTTTAAAGACTTGAGCCATTTTTATCATTATTTATCTATTCATATTTAACCTTGTCATGCATTTTAGGGATCAATTTGCAAAAATGTGATGGAGATACAGGCAATGCATCGATCATAGCATGCTCTCCGCATACACGTTCAAGAATGACGTTTTTTGCCAACCAGCTTATTTTCAGATTGGAAAAAAATAGCGAGAGGTGTGCAAAGAGCGCAAAGCTGAATTCGCAGGTAAGCAATCAGAAAACGTATTAATCCAAAATTCAGCGTTATGGTCTGAAAATATGTATGCAGGAACTAGTTTTGGAAATAGAATCCCCGTCGTCTCTCAGCAGATTTAAGAGACATTAAGGGCCGAAGTGATTCACCACAATCTGAAAGTATACCGAAGGGAAGCATTATACAAAATTTAGTATGAGTAATAATACAGAAACTGTTTGCATTCTCATGCCTTTCAAGTTATTTTAACCACTGCGATTAATCAACCTATTCACTGCTTGTACGTCGATAAGTACCAGTGCCTTTACATACACATATACACATTATTTAATTATATCGAATGACAGGCATCCTGATAGTTATCATTAGCCCTTCATTTGACTTCAGGCTTCATATTGAGGGAAGGAGCATCAAAGTGAAAAAAATCGGGAGGGGGGGGAGGGACAGAAAAGTGTTTCAAAGACGTAAAAGAGGCTGACACAAAGGTAGAAAAAAGGTGAGGTGATTACTGTGGAAATAGTCAAATATGGCATAGAGTGAGGTGATGGTAGTTTGAAGTCAGAAGTCAACTGCCAGTTTATAGACTATTTTGCCGTGAGTTTACGTTTCCCAGGCTGCAACACACACACACATAAGTGGGCATTAAAACGGCCTAAGGGTATTGACGCAGCCTCCATAAACTAGGAGCTCTCATCCACTATTCGTGATCGACCATTTTCTTAATAAATAATAAACGTTCTTCTTTCTTGCTACCAGATACACTTCAAAAAAATGATATAAAAATTCACAAAGGTACTGACTCCAAATAAAATTGGGAAAAACTTTGATAGTCTCATCGGGAAAAATGAAAATCATTTGATGAATGCAGAATTGAATAGATTTGAAAGAAATGTAAGAAAATGAAGCTTCCTTCTCCTTTTACAATCCAAATATCGATAGCCCAGGCAGTTCTAGAAATGGGAAAACTAAACCTAACCCACACTCTCTTACATTCTTCCCATTTTTGACAGGAAATAAATCCTCACTTAAACAACAGTTCGACACTTAAAAATGCTCTTAAGTAAGTTAAACGAAGCAGAATTCAACAAGCTCGCACTGAGCACTTTCAAAATCTCTTAATTTGAAAATACTAAAGGTTACGATCAAACATTTCAATAGAGATATTGATTTTAGAAATAGTAAAATGGTGCTAGGAGCAACAAAATTATCAAAGAAATATTAAAAGGCCTTAGAGTAAATTCATTGTAAGGAAGTCTAGACAGCTAAGTTCTTGATGGCTACTGTAAATGGTCTCAATAGAGCTCTATTTTACCACAGCTCAAGTTTGTCTCTTTGGAATAAATGTTAAAGTGTAATAAGGAAAAACACAACAACATCTATTCGGTAAATACACAGGTAAGAAAAAAATGTCGAAAAACATTCGCGGTCTCAATGCGAAAACCTGGAACTTTCGCACAAGCAAACCTGTCATGATGCCAAACACAATTATCTCCATTACTGATGTCGTGAGCAAATAGATTGTTTTAACGTGCTGGGAAGTTTCACCTAGATAAACTAAGAATGAATAGGAAATAATGGCACATTTTTTAGGATTAATATTCAACACTTTTCCTCATCGATCTAGTGACCTTCATGCAAAGAGAATGCAATGAAAGGCAAAAAATGAACAAACAAAAATTGCTAAACATTGTGAAAACAAGGTATTCCTATTAAAAAATAGCTTTCAATAGCAGATAACCTAAAATAAGCACAAATTTAACCAATAACATGAGTTTTGTATTAAATGGGACTCACCTGGTTTGCTCAAAGATATCTGAAAGTGTCTGCGAGAGGATGGGCAATTTTGCGACAACTTTTGAAACAGCTGCACCGCCTTGGGTGGACACCGCGGGTGTGTTTGAATTTTCAAAGAAGCTCGTGTCCAGACTCATTGAAGCAGTAGTGGTTTGAGTATCCGTTGATAGTGGTTTTGATGAAGAGGTTGTGATAGCAGGAGCTGACTTAAGTCCCAACATCCATACGAGTTGCTGAAAAGGCAGAGAAAATTATCATCCAAAGCAAAGGAGACTAGTGAAATGCGAAGCTGAAAAGTAAAGGCGAAAATTGGTAGGAAAAATGAATAAAGCTATTGGCGTACTAAATAGGTCACTTTTTACCAGGATGGCTAACAATCAACAGAACCTTTCAGTGACCACTTTTGAGTTTTATAAAGTATATGAAATGCAAGCATTTGAAATCCACATCACAAATTGTATCCCCAATGTCGGTATCATATACAAAACGAAATTTTATTCAAAAAATGTTTTGAGAGTAAGATAAAAAATGCAAAAGTAGCGAATCTCATGGAAAACAGCCCCATCTGGCATATTGATGGTGGAATTGTAATTTGCTGTTGTTACCTCTTAGTAATATCCCAGTGCTAGAAATTTTCTTGCAAATTAATATTCACCTTTCGTTTGGTAAAGAAAATTCTCAGTTCTATCCTTAGATTTTCCGTTAAATTCTAAAGGATTCTTACATTTTGAGAACTAATTTTTTGTTGACCGTTTCACACAGTGAAAATTCATTTTAAAATTGGCCACCATCTCACACTCCTTAGAGCACGTTATGAGTTTGGAGACTTAGTGCCCATGATTTGAAATTGCATCCAAAATTAATTTCCACTTCCCAAATCAAGTTATATTCCTCCCTCCTTCCTCCCCCCCCCCCCACTCCACCAATAAAAGGGTATCACGTGATAAATGAGGGGAGGGGGGGGGGTGGGATTCAAATTCTCCTAACGAAGGCAAATCGACTGGCCTTTCTCCCTATGAAAGTGAGATAGTTAGGTATTTGATACCCACAAACTTTCATCTCCAGAGGAAGGGATACATAATACATGCTCAATGTCTCCTTTTCTGGTCGAGTCGTATGAGTATAACATGGCCAAGATTTTATGATGCTAATAAAGAAGTAATTTTAAAATGGAATGAAGGGAACTTAGGCAAATGAGTTCATTTCATTTTGCTCTCTGTGGACTTGTCTAAAATGAAGCTGATCTAGAATTTAGGTTATAAGGATAATGGTTCATTCATGAATAATAGGGAGAGTTAACTATAAGTGGACCTACAAATACGGCAAAGAGCATATCCTCAACCTATCAGAAACCAATGCAAAGATCATCTCTTGGTAGTAGACTAAAAAAGCCTAAAAACCAAATAAGCTGGCATTTGATAAGGAAAAAAGAGAGAAGAGAAACCTCAATCAACCCCATGTTTGCTTACGAATCCATATCAAAACACCCCAAGCCCATTGAGAACGTAGCATCGTCAATGGTAGAGCAATATATCGGATCCTCGTATTTTAACATTTATGCTTTTGACCAGAATTAGCAAGAACCCCCTAAAAAATATACCTGTCTTCCTGGCGAGCACATTTCCTTATGCAATGGTAATTTTGAAACCCGAAAGAGCATTTCTTTAATAAACAGAGGCATAACTGCATGATAAAGCAGATTTTTATTTAGAAATACATTTTTCTTTTAATGTGAAAAAGCACACAAAAAATTTTGTAGCTCATATCAAAAGATTCATCACAGATAGAAGAAGAGCAATTTTTTCAAATAAAGACTCAGAAAACCAAACTATTTTCGCATCTAAGGTACTAAAAATACACCTATTCATGTTATATGTGCTTCAAAGAAAGTGTGACCTATCACCAACGCTATTTTTACCAGTAAATAGCCTGTAAATTGATAAAAAAAACAGGTTACCACTCAAAGCCTATATTAATGGAAAAATACTATAATTAGAGTCCGATAGACCAGGTATAAGGTAACAATTTCTTACATTTTCTCACAGCTATTGACCAAGATAAATGTTTTTTAAAGTAGATGCATACAAACTACGTTAATACTTAAGATTGAAGCTGGATTATCCGCATAAAATAAGATAGAACAAGTCGCCTTAGTCTACTGTTTTTTTTAGAAGACATGAAGGAGATAATTATCAATTTCTAAGCCTAGGTATTGATTGGTCTTGATCTCGGCAGCAGTCGAATCTACCATGGAAACGCTGCCTCACTCCAAGAGCAATTTTGACCTTGTGCAACTAAAAGATAGAAAGTGAGAAGGAGAGAGAGGGCGAGAGGGCGAGAGAGAGGATTAGAAAGCGAGACGCTAATAAAGATCAAAGAGTCGTGATATTGGCAGGGAGGGAAAGAGAGAGAGATTTATACATCAACCTGTTTGCAAAAAGGGAAAACGAGAAAAGCAGATAGATAGGAGGGAGCACTCGTATGGCTTTTAACCTCATTTTTTTTTATAAGTGCTCAAGTTCATGCCAATTGTTGAAATGCTCTTCCCTGTTCGCGATCGTGAGAATGGACTTTGAGATAGGAAGGATGTATTACGGCCTAATGGATCTAGAGAGTATGGAATGGAGAGATGGGAAATGCTTGCAGGGCAACTTAGATTCTAGATGTGAACATTGTAGAGATGAGTATCCAACAATTAAGTTAAGATGTTTAGAATCATTTTATTTGCAAAATCCAAACCTAAAACCGAGTAGGCAGGGCAGACTGTGTAGCGATTTCAAAAAAACTGACTCATCACCGTCCTAATCATCAGCCATTAATAAAAGATAAAATATAGTGAATCAGGCAGCATCTCAAATTATTTTATTTAATTTAACCATTATTCCACAATCATGCACTCGGTTTTAACATACAAACCAACGCTATAATTCATAACATTTTCTACTCTGCGATCATCTGGCAAATCACTGCATCGTCTGAACTTTGGCTCTTCTGATTTGGGAGATGCTGTCGACTCCTGTTAGTTATTAAGATTAGTAAGCTTTAAAGAGGATATCTTAGTTCTAAGTAATAGTCGTTTCACTAGGATTAGTCCCGTTTTACTGGCAAACACGCCGACAACTAAGGCATAGGTGCGTCATTTAGTGCACGGGTACCACTAGGACAGATTTAATTTATACTTCTACATGATAGAAAATTTTCCCCAATTAAATTGCCTGACCTAGAAGAAACTTTAAATATTTCATTAAGTGCTGACGCAGAGTCTAAATCAAATTAAATGAAACAAGCTTTTTCTAAAAAAAGGATCAAATAAATAAACCAGATTTAAACTCAAAAATACGCGTACTCGTAAAATCAAACAGAAGTAGAGTGAAAATATTACTTTTAGACGAGGATCACGTCCATAAAACACAAACCTCAACAAGGACATTGAAATACGCACCGAAAGAGCCTAAATATGCTAGAAAGAGCACGTCTTGACTTGACTAGATCACAGCATAGTGCGTTTAGGTAGAAAAACCAATGCATATTTGATTAGCGGGAAGAAGACAATGATGCCTTTTCCAAAAGGAAGCTAATTATGTGACCAAGCGCTGAGATCCCGAATACCGCAGCCAAGTTTTTTTGTAAGATTATAGCATCCAGCCCAATTCTTACACGTCTGACAAGTCAAAGATTGCAAGACCTATGTCCATCGGTGCACACACAGTGACGAGGGTGAACAACTGCAACGGTTAAATATGATCAATAAGTGGATTTTTTAAAAAGAGCGGTTCCTGAACCTTCTCCCTCAACCTTACAATTTTATGAACAAATTAAAAATCCAGCTAACCATGGCTTTTGTGTAAGCTCTAGAGCAAAAAGAAATGGATTAAAGAAAGCTCAAATGCCCTGGTTTTTAAAAATGCATGGTTCTCTCCCCCCCCCCCCCCATGATTTGGCAAATAGTGAAAGAATGAATTTTACGAAGCTATTAGGCGATTAGATCATGTATATGCAACACAAGAACATGCGCGTGGTGCATTATCTACCCCCACAAAATCTGCCTCCACTCAACTAAGAACACAAGTACCTACCTCACCTTTTTAATACTTCAAACAAGTTGGATCATAAATCCCCATAACTCAACTTATCCAGTAGCTAAAAATTTAATTTGGCGAAAAATAAAGCAGGTGGGGGGGGGGTATTATCATTAGCTACAACAACGAAATACCCATGTTTTCCTTTCCCACCAGAGAGAAGGATCATCGCCTTTTACAGCCAAAATTTCATTACTCTTTCACAATTTCTCTATTTATTCGCCTTACTAAAAGAAGACCGTGTAGTACAAAGAAAATGGCCGGAGTAAAAATAACGAGAGTTCTGCTGTCCGGTAATTAATTGAACCTGACTTACTCAAACTTGGCCATCCACCGCACCATTGTATCCTTGATTGTATGATAGATTCGTTTTATTGGTTACTCATAAAATGAACGAAAAAAACATATTACTCAATTCCTCTCATAATGCCTTAACTTGCACTGTTTAATCCGTTCTGGGATACTCAGTTCATCAATCCACCCCCCCCCCTTGCTCCTTGTCGTCGTCTTTCCTTCACAATTGCACACATACAATGCATGGTCTAATTAGGGATTGGCATTCTCGATTAAAAGGACTATTATATTCAAGCAACCATTAAGGAGAATATTTATTTAACAATGACTCTAAAGTGCGTTTCTCCTTTGCATGGAAATTCTGATTACCAACTGAAATCCGAAATGAAACTAACTTGCAAAATTTGGTTTCGAAATTAACAGATAAAACTACCACGATGGAAACTAAGGGAACTCGTCCATTATGATTCCCTAGTAATTCGAATTGGCACAGCATTTCCAAACACGAGTCTTCCAAGCATATTGCATTAGAGCTCAAATATCCCAGATTGTGAAAGGATTGATGGCTTGACAAAATTGTTCCAATTCAGCATACACATAAAGCGCAAAATTTTCAGTGTGACAGGAATAATTGCTTTGCCCAATACCCTAAACAAAAGTGCAAGAACGACTTTTTGAAAGCAAATGGCCTAGCCTATCCTGACTAAATAAATTGCAATTTGATTTACTTCATAGATTTTGAAATTGATAACTCGAAATTGGGAGTAAATTAAATATTTTGAAAAATTGTTTTTGCTTATATAAGAGAGCATGTGATAACAGTTGGAATTTTACAGATTTTGAAGTAAGATAACTCTCAGTCAACAAATTTTCCTCGTCCAGTCCTACCAACGGCTACTCACCCCTAGAGCTTGCATGGGCAATGCCAAAATCTCACTTGATTGCAAGATGCTTGCATTCCACTCAGAAATATTAACTAATACCACATTAGCTTTGAATAAGTAATTTCCAGTCGTTGATTAATATGCAAACAGTTAATAAAAGGAATCAATATAACCCCCCCCCTCCCCCAACTGTTTGGGCCCACCTTGTAAAAAATGAGTGGAAAAAAATGAGGCAACTTTGAGTGACATCACGGAGAGAGATCGGACCAAATGAATCCCAACTTACTTTCCTGAAAGTATTACAATGTAAAGCCAAATCTTCCTGAACATAATGGTGATCCACACTTCAACTTCGTTATATGTAATATTGCTTCGATCATCAAAACGAGTAAACAGAATTGGTAGGCACACAAGCCGCATATTCATGAATCACCCTCAAACAACTGTTTCAAATACATTAAAAGGTTACAGCAGCTAAAATCACCGGCCCCCATTAGCGTAAAGCTGATATTAAAGGCAACAACAGAGGCGGCAATAGTAATGTAAAAATTGGTAACAAGGAAGTCAACTTTTATGCAATCATCTTATCGCTTGAAAGATATGGTGGTAAAAATGTCACCAGTTAATCTTGGAATCTTATGTGATCGCATAATCATTAAGTTTACACTTTCCAAAAAATGCGGTTTGGATAAAGACCTGAAGTACTTCTTTGTGAAAAATATATGAGCTAAAAGTGAGAGATCACGATATATTGTAGTCAGATGAATCCAATAGACCTCACCTGCATAGTATTCAGCACCAGATACCATGAAGAATCAAGTAGAGCGCCGTTAGTTTTTGCCAGCTCTAAAAGCGCTTGTGAAATCTGAATGTGCTTAGCCGTGACAAAGAGCGAAGTTGAACCATTTGAAACACCTGACGACACTGTGCTAGATGATGCTTCCGAATTGCCTCCAGGGGAAGGCGATGACTCAAGAATCAAATTACCAGGTCCATGGTTGGCATTCACTACAATAACAATGGGGCTGCGATCTGTCGCTTCATCATTGGTCTGCTGTTGATGATAGTGTTTAGAACCATCTATAAATAAAACAAAGAAATGAAAGAGGAAATTTGAGGCTTTTCATTAAACATGAACGAAGTTGCAAAGAGGAGCGCGCGATAGACTTACCTCCACGTGGTGCACCCTGGGCAACGTGTGCTCATATGGCAAAAATGTCTACTAACTGGCAGTTGACTTCTCACTTCAAACTACCATCACCCCACTGTATGTCATATTCCACCACTTCCATATTACACACCTCACCTTTTTTATCTTTGTGTCTGTCTCCTTTATATCTTAGAAACATTTTTCTATTACCTTCCCCACCCCTCTTGACCTTTTTCACTTTAATGTTCCTTCCCCTCTGTGAAGCCTAAAGTCAACTTAAGGGCTAATGATAACTATTAAAACCGCTGCCATTTGATATAAATGAAGTTGAAAAGAGGGTACTTAAAACAGAGAAGCATAGGCACACTTTTGTCAATGCTATTATGTCGACTAAGGTTAATTAACTATAAAAAGGAACTAGAAAGTTCATAATAAATAATGCTTGAGATCAACAAATATGGAAAGATTTTAAGATACTATTAGCCATCCCATGTTTAGAATAGGCAAATATTCGAACATCCAAAGGTTAGCAAGCTAAGAGAGCAAGTACAATCGCATTGCTGTAACACTTATTTATATAAATGTATATAGCAGAAGCTGCATATAGCATTAATGATTCGTTTGCGCATTAGCATTTAAAAACAATAAAATGCGATTCATGGGCTAGAACTGGAGTTGGAAAGGAAAACAGAATTGCAATGTTACATACAGCAAAAAGCGAGTATTTTAATACAATATAATTCTCGTATCAGTAAGATGCACTATTGCAAGCCATTTAACTTGCTCTTATGGCCACAAATGGCATTTAATTCAATTCGACCTATCGATGTGAGCAAAGTGTGTCTTATTTTAGCGTGCTGGTTTGGTCGTATTGTATTATATTGTTTCTTGGCTGCATTCGTAGCTAGCATAATTTTCCTGAAAAAACCGAGACCCCGTTTCGTTAACAATCAGAGAAGAGCAGATCATGATAAAGTATAAATACGGATCAAAAAAGCAAAAATTAAAATGTGGAAAGCATACAAAACTCAACAGAACAACAACCACCTTTTAGTTATGACGATGCGGTAGAGCGCCAATCAATAACTATGAAGAATTCACTTACAAATGGATCTTTGACTAGAAGAAGTGTCATAGTCGACCACTTCTACAGTACTCACCTTACCCTACTCTAATGATAACTATCAAATCGCCTGTCATTTAAAATAAATAAATACCCTTACTAATGAAGAAAAGACCTTCTATGGTAAAAATCACTCCAGTTAACAAGCTTCCATACGAATTTGCAGCTGAATTAAATCGCCTCAAAATCAATAATTATCCCAATTCAGAAAATTAATATATTAGTAACGATCTCTTATTCATCATGACATATATATATATATATATATATATATATATATGCTAGCCAAACGTTTTACAATATCGTCAAAATCATCCATGTTTTCGGGTTTAAATTAAATAAGAAAAGGCGGAGAAGAATTAAATGAAGAAAATATCCATCACAAATAGATGGAAGTGTTACACTTGTCCTTTGCAATTAGTAAATAAATCAGCTGTTCCAACATATAACAGCACTGCTTTTAACAAGGCACAGATTAATGACAAAACACTGGCAGGTTAGTTAGCACTAAAAAATATACACATCAATGGTATGATCGCCATGACCAATAAACAGGGGCAATGAAAATCAATTATCAGCACAAGAGGTAAATTAACAAATCTCCCAACAGAGCATCTTTCATTCGCTATTGAAATTTTCTGAAACTTCCCCATATTACGTAAAGATATTAATGATACTACAAAAGATAATAATTCACATCAACCTTTAAAATTTTTACGTGAAGGAAATTGGGTTCACTGATCACACTGTTTGAGTATGCAGCAAATTGGCATTAATATTTAGTCAAAAACGAACATTATAGAAGTAAAGATAATTGATTCGAGATATTTTATCAACCAGAAAAAAACTCATTTGTTGCCCAACATGTAATCGTGGTTTGTAAACACAATCCAATTATAATACACAAGAAGAGCGTTGTCTATAAAAAAATCCATAAAACGTGCGTTTATATAAGAGAATATAAAGACAAATAATCAAAACAGACGACATAAGTAGTAGACTAACACCAATTTACTGATCACTACTCACATAGAAACTAATTAAAAAGAAGATAGGAGGAAATTCAAAGGCGCAAAAGAGAAAAAACAGGCCTCAACGTATCCCCTGGCAAATTTAATTAACATATTAATACAGAGCATAGAGTGAGCAAAATTGGTGTGGAAGAAAAAACAACGACAGCAAAAGAACAATAAATCACTAATCATTAAATAAATGCACAGAAAAGGCAAGAATTATGAGCGAAAAATAGAAAATAACAAATAATAATCGCTCCGGACTTCAACAGGAACATAGAATTAAGAAAATCAATTAAAATATAGTCTTTATTTAAATTTATTTTAAAAATAAAAGAACGCTTTCGGTTGAAGTCAACTTAGCTAGCACCAACCCGCCACTATGAACAATAAGAGGAGGTGAATATACTTGGATAGCAAGAATACTCATTCTATTTAACAGATCGGTCTAAGTAATCGTGGATATAATTCCGAAATTTGCAATTTAAAGCATTAAAAGACGAACATATTGCATTTTCGCAGGTGCTTCGATTCGCAAGCTGAATTATATTGAGGATAGAGTACGCTTAAGAAAGCCAGCCTTCTATTAATAAGCTGTCTGTTGAGATGGCGAAAAACAGGTCATTCCTTACATTAATACAATACGACAAATTCAGGCGTTCCTCTTCAGACGGTAGTAAATTCACCGTAAAAAAATCTTGTGCAACCGAGCAAAATTAAATTAAATATCTGTACCTCTGATGATCTTGAAGTCACCGAAGGATCTAATCAAGTATAAATGGTTACTTTCAAAACAGGTATACTTGAATTTCACTTTTACATCCATTAAACAAATTTTAGAATGAAAAATATCACGAGAAATAGATTCAATGTGATCTTTTGACAAAATTGATCCACGTAATCCGTTTAGCTCGATAAGACAGATTGATTTTTTAAAATGCCACCCAATAAATTCAATAATATACCTTAAAGTCCCAAAAAAGAAATATAAAAAAAATTTTCAACAGAAAATAAATCGCTAACACCTTTTCAATAAGGCCACGTCAGCGATCGAAGAAAGCTTATTAGTTCATTCCTCAAAAAACTGTACCCAAAAAAACCGAATGAACCAATAGAATATAAAAGTACATAATTTATTATTGAGTGCGAATTTTAAATAGAAATTGATGTGGTGCACCAAGCACTTTTTTATCGCAATTATCGTTGTGCCATTAATTAAAATAAATGTTTCAAAAAAATAGAGAGGAGGAGAAGCAGCGGCAACGGTTCAATGACAATGTGAGCAAACACACACCACACAGAATACTTTAACGTGACCGTCAAGCAGAAGGCAAAATAGTAATCTAATCGCGATTATCCATGTCATTACATTCCCTCTGTGTTGTCAACAGTTAATTTGAACTAAGCCTGTTCGATTGATAATACACTTTTCGAGGGACTATTCATCAGGGGAGTTGGACAACCTCACACAACTGCAACTTTCACCCTGGGGGTATCGAACCCGTTGTCGCCCTATTCATATTTACTTATTTATATCAAATGGCAGGCGTTTTGATGGTTATCATTAGCCCATTAGTTGACTTCAGGCTTCACAGAGAGGAGAAGGAACATCAAAGTGAAAAAGTCGAGAGGAGGGGAGCAGAAGAGTGTTTCAAAGACAAAGGTTGAAAATTTATAAAATTTTTGATGTAGTACTGTGGAAGTGATCGAATATGACATACAGTGGGGTCAGAGGTCAACTACCCGGTTAATAGACTTTTTGCCGTATGAAAATACGTTGCCCAGGGTTCACCACGTGGAGGTAAGTCTATCGCACACCCTCGCTCTATTCATATAAATTTACGTTAGCTGATGAGTAGATGAATTAGAATTTCTTCCAAAATCTAGGCCTTCTGAGCCCAAGCGTAAGAACGCGTTATCATAAAGGGGGTTGACAAAAATAATTTAATTACAAGGTTAGATAATAG